TATGTTGAATAAGTGTCCAGCCGTTACTTTGGCAGTGTTTTCTGAGTTGTTTATTGACGGTTTTAACTTGATCATTCATGTCCCGTCTTGCAACAAGTTCGGAAATGATAACTTTAGTTTCAGAAGTCTTTTCTATTTCACTTGCAAGACTAGCAACCCTCTCGGCAACCTCGGTTGGACTGGAATTTTTCAGATCGTTAGTTCCACAATGGAGAACAATTCGATTTGGTGACCGGTCTATCGTTGGCTTGATGTAATGTCTCATATCTTCAGATGTAGCACCCGGAAATGATTTTACTACGACCCGGTTGCCGACCTCTTTGCCAAGCTTTGGCCCTTGAATATTCTTGATCATGGAGTCGCCTATCAGCACTGTTGTATGACGCTTTAGTTGTCGATCCTCCTTGTTATCGTGTTTCTTTGCAGTGGTATTCGACCCCTTTTGTTCAGCACTGAAGCTGTTAGCTGAAGCTTTCCAGCTCTCCTTCTGACGGGTTTCGGTTAACGTTTGGGTTACTTGACTTGCAGGACATTGACACTTCTTCGGTATGTTCTTCAACACTGAGACCAGCGAAGCGATTATTGATTTGAATATTCGGATTCACTTGGTGCCAGGTCGGGTCATGTTGTTGCCTCTGTTGTTCCTCTGAATTAATTTGATCTGCTTGATTGACATTTGATTGTTCTTGATTTCGTTCGTTCTCCTTGTACAATAGTTTAATTGCCGTGATTAAGCTGGCTTTTTCATCCTCTGCTGATTTTGCTTTGTCTTGAAGATCTGCTAGAATACAGCTAAGATTGTTAATTCTTTTGGAAAACTCATCATTTAGTTTTTTTAGTTGAAGGTTTTCTTTTCTTAGGCTATCCAACTCACTATTTGTCTCTCGATTTTGGAGCTGATTTAGTACTTTCGAATGATCTTGTAGCGTTTTGTCAACTGTTGTTTTATTTGTTGTAAATTCTTTCACTAACAATCTAACTTGGCAATCGAGGGATTTGATATATGTCTCTAAAGCAGAATCTTCTTTGTTATGTATGCAAATATCGTCGTTTTCCTTGCCAATTTCAATATGGTCGTCTTCGTCCGGAATTTTAGTGTCTTCACTGACAACGGAATTTGCTAGTTTTTTAGATATCGAAGCCAGTGAAATTAACTTAGCTTCGATATTCTCCTTCTCACCACCGCTAACAGTTATAGTTTGTGTATTAGCATGCCATCGAATAGATATATCTTGACTTTCGTCCCGGTACAGCTTTGCATCGCCTCCAGGCGAAGACCATTTACCGCCTGATAGGTTTAAAACATCTTCTACAAACTCTTGCAAAGCATCAAATGATGTCGTCCATATCAATCTTCTTTTATCGTTAAAAGATAGGCTATGAATTAAGCTTCCTTTATTATTATTTTCTTGATTCATATCTAATACCGTGCTCAAATTTCAGGTAGAGGAGGCATTGAACCCATGTTCACTTGAAAAGTCTTCCTTTGTCACGAAGATTTCGCCATGCACCTCTGTTTCCCTAGCAGCTGCATGACGCGGCGCCAGAACCGGCAAGAGTGCAAGCGGGGGGAAGGGGCCGGGGGCAGATTTTCGTACAAAGTTGGGGGTGCACGTGTGGGGTGGTAAAGAAATTTTCCTGAATTTGAACTTCACTGTTAAAATTATCTCGAAATTCGTAAAGAGTCTAGGGGTGATCCCAACAACATTTTTACGATCAGTTAGATCGATGACTGCATTTCTGACATTTTTTTGAAAGAATTCACTACGGAATTTGCTTATTCATGAAATAATTCTTGTCTCTTGATTTTGTTTGCTTTGCTCTCGTTTCCCATTGCACACAGTATGCTCTGTTCCCTAAAGCCCCTGCAGGGAAATTTTTTTTTCATTCATGAAAAAGTCAACGACATGCATAACCGTTTTAACTTTTAACCCGGTACAGTTTTCTGAGAGGTCCTGTATCTTCCAACGAGGCGTGTATAAAAAAAAGTGTAAAGCGGCTTTGATAATTTCAGCGGATTTTAAAGGACATTTTGGCTCGAATTTCGGGGTATTTAGGAGATTTTTAAGACTGTCGAGAGGGATTTTGAAATAAACATTCCCCGGTGTCTGCGTGGGAACTGACACACAACGGTAAATGTATTTTTGTTTTTTGATAAACCTGAACTTTGACTTTTACCCTGTGCAAAATTTTCCAGTTGACATAATTCATAAATTTATTTTTTTTCTTTTAAAAAGAACCACGTCTATAAGAATCATGTAGATAAGAACCATGTTTACAAGAACTGCATATATGTAGATAAGAAGTATGCTTATATTAAGAACCGTCTAGATATCAACCATGTTTATTAGAACCATGTAGATAAGAACCAGGTTTTATTTGCTCAACTAAAATCATTGTACTTGTTAAATTGAGAAGTCTGGGAACTTCCAAATATATTAACCCATACATCCGCCGGTTGAAATGAAAAGTCACTGTACAGTATCTTCTAAACTGAGACAGTCAAATGCCAAATGGAATTAACGAAATTTTCCCCATGCAAACAAAACCACATTTTAATTGATTTATTGATTAAATACGCGCGTTTTACTATTATTTAGGAAATGGGATGTCTAGCCTAGGAACTTCTGAACAAATCCCGCATGCCACCAGAACAGTGCACCAATTAATAAGGCATACGGCGCAAAAGGGCGAAGCAATTCAAGCAATCAAGGAAGTAATTTGAACTTTAGCATCTTAGCTTCCTGTTGAGTGTTGCCAGTTTGGTAACATTGCTTTGGAATTACGACATGTTATAGCCTTTAATGTTTTATAGAAAACAATAATAGTGAAATTCCGAAAGCGACATGGCATTGACCTTTAATCTTTATGTCACTGTTTTGTCTCTTAAAACTTCCCATTAGTACATTACAAAAATTCGCATCCATGGCGACTGTATAAGAATTTAGTCTACGATTTTCAAGAACTTGTCTTAGATTTATTACAGGTCCTTACTGGATTGCTTCAGCAGGCCCAGGGCATCGAATAAGCAATTCAGGAATCAGGTACAAGTTGCACAACCGTGTTGATTGCAGACCATCCAAAAAGGCAAAGGCTCTCCCCAAATTACTGTAGTAAAGTCTAAATAACACCGTTTGATCTTTGTATAAATACTTTGTTTTTATAAACTGTGTTAAAAATCATACAAATATAAAACACATAAACAATAAAACTATAACAAAACACAACTTTGTTGTACATGTACAAATTTGTTATCCTACCGCTGTGTATGCAAGAAAAACACTTTCAACTGCTGCCTTGCTCTGCCAACCACATCAGTACATGTGTTCAATAAAATCAATGTGGGTATAAATGGCAACGCCTTACCAACAAGTGACTAAAAGTAACAAGGAGGTATCATAAAGCTTCACCTCGACAGCTAGTCAGAATTGGTTAATGGCTATCCAAAATATGTGTACCATGACATTGCTGGTCTGTCAAAAAACCCAAGTAATTCATGATATAGTCATGCCCTTGATTTTAATATTGATAGTAAACGCTTGCTAGCTTACTTGCAGTTAAAGCATCAGTAAAACGCTTACCATTCTGCTAACACCATGCACTGTAACTAGTTTACTTAAGCAAATTCACCAGAATTTATTTGGCATTTTCAGGCAGCAGTTTTGTGTATTTCCTGCACTAAATCAGTTTGTCACAGGATATGTTTGATGATCACATCACGAGTCCAGCTCAAGTAGATCCCTATATTACATACTATCCTGCTTAAATTTCCTTATGAGACCAGCTCTTAGTTAGACCATATGTTAAGAATATTGAGGTCTGAAATGACAAGCTCACAGCTGAGTTATATATACCTTAATTAACTCTAAAATGTGCATCTGGCCTTGGTCTTGCAAAAATAGTATTATTGGAAAAACATGTCACAACTTAGCAACCAGTCACAAAAAATGTGAAGTAATTCATCAATTTGTCACAACCTTGGCTAAAAATATTTGAACCATGTACAGCCAAATTATCCACTTAAAACATTCTTATTAGGTTCAAACCATATTTATGACAAGGCCAAATCCAGATGCACCCTTAAAACTGTCTTATACAGTTCGACAGATGTTTGATAGCAAGGCATCTTAATAACTCTCAGATATATATTACTCTAACTATATTTACAGATGCTATGATTGATTTGTATATCATAAGGGTCCATATGAACGAGATAAATACAGTGCTCCTTATTAAAGGATGACAGATTTCAGAATATATATGTAACAACTGAATCCTATTATATAGATCTGGAAACTCTATATCTTTAATAGCACTTGTGGAATGTGCTTGTAACACTGTATTTTTAAATGTCAGTAAAACCACTAGTATGTGTCAAAATACCCACCCTACATGTCTACTTAACTTAGTCCATCCCACAACCTAAATCTAGCAGCTGATAAAACTCAACTGCTAACATACCTCTTCAACATTTGTATTTTAAAATAACAGTTCTTGAGTTCTAATACGTTTTCAGGTTATAAATATCAGTTCTACACAGTTCGTCTATATTGCTAGACAAAACATATGGTTTGTTTTGCAAGGGATTTAATATTGCTTTGCTAAGGTCTTAAGGATAAGCAAAGGTGGTCATACTTATTCCCAGACATGCCAACTAAACAATGGCCTTACTATTTGGGCATGTTCATCATGTAACCTTTTTACTTCTTAATATTTAACTTATACCATTCATCACCCAAGGACAAAGCAAAATGGTCTTCAACAGAACCAGAGGGTGGGGTGAAATCAGCATATTCTGCTCCAAGACTTCTTCTAAAATGTTCATCAACAACCGGGTCTGCATTTCCAGATGATATGGGCAGCGATTTCACATCTTTCCGATGTGATATTTGAAGATCTAGCACATTGTAACCAACTGGTACACCAACAATTGTATGCGGCCGACGTTGTAGGTGTGCCGAGGTTATCACAGATGTTCTCTGCTGAGGGCGGATTTCTTCGTACATGCTGCTTCTGGGCGAGACACACAGCAGAGGTGGTGGCCCTGACATTGGTCTAGGGGGGAAGGCTGGTTGTTCATCAGTACTAGAAAAGATAAAACTAATTATTGTATTGTCTAGAACATACCATAGACCAATTAAGCGCTTTATAATTTTCCCAATATCATTACCATCGATAAACAACAATCTAGAAATTGCCTTAAGCCATTTACACAGCTATTATATTCATATATTGGCATTGTATTCAAATTACCAAATTCAATAGCATTGCATTCCTGATGCGAGTGTGCTGCCAATTTATTTCCCAATTAATTTCTATTGAAAAGGTGTCATTTGTCACGTTTCAAAACATATCTCTCATTCCGTAAGTGGCAAAAATAGATGCCCGCACAGCACGCGGTATCCCCCTCGCGATGGAGGAATAAAATTTTTGCCTTCCTTTTGACTATAAATGGATAAAGTCACTATCGACACGCCAGATCATGTTACCAAATAATTCAAACCCTTGGTCTACTTACAGCGTTTGGGTTGCACTACATTTCATTTTCCTTCGCCGATAAACGACTTGGTCTTTTATATTAATTGTCCCTTCTTCTACCTCCATGGACTGCTCTTGCTCTTTGAATTCCATCGCTTTCGAGAGAAGAGTATTTGGCTTAGGAATAAATGTACTTTCCATTTTCGTCTCGAAACCTAAAGCGGAAAAATGTGCGAGGGCTTAATTTTGTAACCAAAACAATCTTTAAAATACAATAGGATGGGCTTCATGAATACATGAATCTTGTCAGATAGAACAAACGTAAATTACCGGCATTCTTCAAACAACAACATATTTGCGTGTTCGGGAAAATTACCTAAATACATGCTCGAGTGAACAGATGTTGTGCTTTTATAATCAGTCGAATGATGATAACACCGGATACCACGTAGAAAATTTACAAGCCTTTGTCGTTCAAGGGCACAGAATACATGCCCAAGTTTTCTGCTCACACATATTACATGATAGACTGATTATATCTGAGCATCAAAACATTCAGTGTACAAGTTTATAAACTATTTGATAGCGGAAGAATGCAGCACCCTGCGTAATATTGATGGAAAATGTCGCAATTATATATTCCTGAACTCATAAACATAGCTTGACATTTCATAATGAAGCTATTTAATTTAGCACAAGTTTTATTGACGATCGTGCTATTTGCTTTGCTCTTGCCTTCGCCTACACATTCAAAGACTACACGCGAAATCGCGAACTTCCTCAAACAACATATTAAGACATGTAATGTTGAGCGTAGGACGTCGGATAGGAATTTATATAAACTGAGAAGAATCTATACACAACATTTCGTTCGTATGTTCTTGTCATCCAGCAAAACGTATTATAGCCAGTTGAATTAATATGGTCAGATGTATATTAATACACGGACGATATCGGTATTCAAAATACTCTAGTCTAATCAAGAGAGCATTCCATTTAAAGCATTCATACTTGGTATCTAGTGATTGAAATCACACAGCACTTACAGTCTACGGGTCGTGCTTTAATAATCTCAGTCTCCGTTTCTGTTTCAACAAGCGAAGCTGCTCTTGATAAGACATCTAAAGACGTTTCCACTTCCATTCCCTCCATAGCGATAAAGTCTTTGTTTGCTCGCGTATTAAATTAGTCGTTTCGTGATTAACAATATGCGGGTGATACAAGCAAGAAATTCCGAAGCACTGTAAGAACACAATCTCGAATTCCTTGACGCAATACGATGACAATTCGATGCCAAATCAAGAAGTACGAAGCGACGATGACAGATACTTTACTTTTGTGAACCAAAGAGTTCAACTTTCCTCAAATTGCTTCGCCAAAATGTTGATAAACAGCCCTATACTTTCCGACCAACAGCGCGAACTCTTGTCTGTCGAAATGTGTCAAGAATGCCGAGAACGATTGCTTGCATGCTTGATTATTATTGACGTAGATACGCCATTCTGATTGGCTGAACTCTAACATGCCATTTCCCGAGACACCCATTTGTTTCAGTATGACGTCAAACAATGTTTGCGGCCGACATTCTGACCTTGGTATTTTGTATTTGTTGTAATAAACTCTTGCACACACTCTTCAAGCACTAAAATATGCATTTGGCCGTACTAGATAAACAAACAGGGCTTGTTTTGCATGTGTTTTTGAATACCTTTCACATTTTATTAGCATCAACAAGATATATGGAGGAATGCATCTTCATTTTTCAAGGGTATATACAAGTGATACAATACCTACTACAAACTCCTGCAGACTATGAGTATTGTACATTTCATACATGCCTCAAGTTATAAGTAATTATAACAAGTAATGTGCTGCATACATACCTTAAATCTGTACTGTATATATGTTTACTTATATATTATCTAATTTCTAAGCTATGCCATGATGGGTAGATAAACCATTTTACTGAAAACACGGCTCGTAGTCATAGACACAGTCATGCATTGACAATGTTTTTTTTTAAGAATTTAAGTAAAAAATTATCCGTAGCAATAATGGTCTCGACTTTGTCTTTGGGTAAATTTGCAACCTGTCTGCATCATAAAGAATGGTATATAACTTTTTTAGCGAAAATAGAAATTCATTTTTCCCCAGTTTTAACATGTGGTTTATAAACCGCTAGACCTACGGCTACGGCTGCGCCGGCAACAGCAACTATTAAAATCAACTAAATTACCATCAAGGCGCCCGAAATGTTTCCGTAGTATAAACCAAACTAACTTAATTTATACCAACATTATAAATTTAAATAACCGTAAAAACAAAACGTGATGCCGATGAGCTTTCGTGCTAATTTCCTGATACATTTCCCGTCGCCAAAATGACTGTCTAAACAAAAGTCACGTGAGTGGTGTACATCTATCCTTCCTTCTGACCTACTGAGCACTGTCATACAAAACTTAATTTAAACTAATGCTTTTATCCCCCACAATTCAATAACTCCACGGGCACAGTTTTGTTCATGCTTAATTCATTTTCCCCCAGATTGTTTTGTCCACAGTATGATCCCCGCGATAGTCGTTGACAGATCTGCATGCGGGGAAACAGAAAGTTTTAATTTTAGATTTTGTCCTGCTATTTATATTTCGATTTTCGAGATGGTTTTGTATGTCAAGTATAAACACGTAAATCAAATTACGGATCACATCAAAAAGATAAAATTAGACAAACAATCAGTAGAGACATGTGTCTTGATTGCCTTCGTGGCTGCCCTCCAGTGATTTTGGCTCTATTTTGTTATCCATACGTCGTTTCAGTTACGTTAGCATGGTAATATTCGCTAACCACAATTGGTATAACCAATCGTACATGCATGTAGTCTTCCGCTATCTTTTACGATGCTTCAAATCTGACAATATAAAATGTATATCAGTAAATTAAAAAAGGTATGAAGGAAGTCATAACTTTGTCGTAACTGGGTTATCCTACGGTGTCATTGTCAAATGAGTTGAGCACTTGAGTGGATCAGTGTGTGGCCAGCCCTGGCGACGAGAAGTCAGAACATAAAGCGACAAACTTGCAAGATTCAGTTAATAGGTTTCCTGAAGACGTTGATCTGCGAGCCTGGAGACAAGGCTCTTTGAACCCGCAGTATGATGTGGCATTTTTCGTACGAGGTTTTAAATTTAATGTTTTTATTTCGTTATTACTGAATATAGCTATTTAAATATGATACGAGTTGTTAATTAAACAAGACACTGAGGTGCATATTAAGGATTCAAGGTTTCATCAGTTCTGACTTCACTTATCATTGGCTGTTTCAACACTGTTCCGCGAGGAAATATATAGTCTCGCAATATACAATATGGAGTTAATGACCCATATAATCCACTGATCATATAATGATATCGATAATGGCACAACCTAACGTCATGGCTAAATTTACCATGAGGAACTTTCGTATTTGCACACAATATATTAAAATATGCAAAATAGATCACGAGTCAAGAGGGTGATAGGTGGCATCGCTTTGTCGTGCACGCACACACACAAAGAACTTTATATGAAGCTTTTCTGGAATGCTATTTGTTTCAAATACTTTACGCTTTTTACTGCGTTGCTTCTAATTGTATTCATGGTATTTCAAACATTAATGTGAAGATTAAACTGGTTACACTGGCCATATATAAGCATATTAGTAATAACTATGTTAAGTACTAAAATACCATTCATGTTATAAATTCTTGTCGTGAGCTGCTATGTAGACCCGGCTTTGCAACGATTTGTTTGGTTGTTTCTATACACAAACGTGGAATGAACCCAAAAAAGCTTCGTCAATCGTCATTGTGAAGAATAGAAAATATTAAATATTCGTAATTATTATGGTCAAGTGTTCTCGAGACAAAAGTGGGCTAAACTAAAGTTTGCCAACATTGTTCCTTCACCATATATTAAAATTAGTGAATAGTGAACCAACATTCTTGTCCAGTTTCAAGTTATGGTTATCAGGATATATAATGGTCATTGATATGGTCATTTTGCTTAAACTTAGAAGTCTTAGTAATATAAACATAATGGTATGTCACAAACGGTACACAGTCTGATAGTTATACTCTTTAGACTTTACTAAATACATGCAAAACAACGGTATGAACTTCGAAAAGATACTAAAAAAATACTAGGAGTCACTATCGTAAGAAAGTGCTGCCTTTTATACTATGTTAAAAACGGCCTTTTGGAGTTACTGTTGTTTTGTATTTTGCAAAAATACTCACTACAGACAGTTGTTCAATGTTGCGGCAATATTCTTTACAAAAATTTGACTGACTAATGACTATTTCATACTAAAGGAAGCCGGCAGCCACTTCAGTGTCTGCGTTCAACGATCCATTAAAAGCAGATATCGATTCTATAGATCAAATATCATCGCTAAATATATCTACATTGTCATGCAATGTTGTACAATGGGAAGTATCTCAACTTTATAAGACCAGTTTAGTTCTCAAAAAACCAAACAATTTCGAAAATCAACTCTGTAAAGTAACGGTTCTTTTACACTGATTTTCGTTGTTTCCTTGCATGGCGTGGTAATTAATACAAACAACAGCCATTCTGTATAATCATAATGTTAACAAATCACGTCATACTCATTGAACAAAAATGTTATGGACTCACTATTGAATATCGTCACATTTACCGGCAGCGGGGAGGTTCGTACTGCAAAATATTTTCCGAGGTCTCAGAAGCGGCTCAAAACCGACGGTCGAAGAAAGCTTCTGAGATCGAGGGGAAATATAATTTTTCAGACTTTGACGATAAAAAAAGTATTTATTTTTTCCGTCCATGTACTTCATCAATTCCAACATTTTATGTTTGAGGCCGGACGAATTGTATATGTTCTAATATCAGTATATCTGAATATATGCTGAAACGATAGGTAGCATAGCATTTTCGATGTTTATTTCCGGTAAAGAAACATTTCGGTTTTTCGCATTTTGGATTTTTGGTAGGAGTAAATTACATTTTGGGTTTGACACGAACTCCATTGAAGTTCGTTTAGTTTATTTTCCTATATTTGTATCGTTAGGATGAGTTTTTCAACTTCCTTATAGGTAGCTTTTTAAGTTTGATTGAAAATTGTCACCTCAGTGAATTCACTCCTCGGTTTGTTTACGCGCGAAATGCGAGTTGTGATACGGACCACTCGTCAGCCAATGAGAAGGCTCCATTTACGTTACAGACCTGGGGTTATGGACAGGACAAAAATAAATTGTTATATGGTGTTCGTGGCATACGTGTAAATTTTATTTTTTGTGGAGGTATAGTCAATCTTCGAATGGAGCTAGCTACGCCGGTGCAGCCATTACGGCATTAGATAACTAGATCTACTGACATGATTTTTGGAGTTGTTAAACTTTTGGAGTTTTTAGGCGCCCTTTTCATCATTCATTCCAAAACTAGTGCCCCTCGAAACCGGTGTCCCCCCTCAACTTTTTCATGTTTCCTACGCCCCTGGCGGCCATATAGTGTATTGACCATTGTGCTTGTATACCTTCTTCCCCTACCGCCATACAACTGGGGTTGGATTCCTTTGTTATCAAGTTGTCAGATTTTAATTTCGCCTCAATGTCTTGTGCTAAATGCTGCAAGATTCTTCGGAAACTTGACTAGAAATACATATAGTTATGACTTTATGCGGCTAACTGCAAATTCAAAACTTTAGAATTTTCTTGGATTATATAGTGCAGTGCAGTGCAGTGCAGTGCAGTGCAGTGCAGTGCAGTGCAGTGCAGTGCAGTGCAGTGCAGTGCAGTGCAGTGCAGTGCAGTGCAGTGCAGTGCAGTGCAGTGCAGTGCAGTGCAGTGCAGTGCAGTGCAGTGCAGTTTTTTACTGTGTTTTGTTGTTTTGTACTAATTAAGTTTCCGTAATTGGTTCACGCTGGTATTAGTGTTCCTCGGAGCCGTTTTTTTGTTTGTGCTTTCCTTGTATTCGCCTATAGGGCTATACGGTGCGGTTAATATAGAAACGAGAAAAGAACTCGACTGATATTGCTGCCATAGTTGACGGTTCGAACCTCTCACTCAGTTAATAACATGTGCCTATATCTAGCCCTACAGTTTGAGATAACTGCATATTACCAGCCCCCGAGATGG